TTTTAAATTTTTTAATGATATCATCGTTGCTTTTATAGCATTTTTTATTTTTTGTTTCGTTAGAAATAAATGAATATTATTTTAAATTGTCATATTTTTAATGCGTAAAACGCGTATCGATGATAATAGCTGATTTGATGAAATATTAATTTTAAAAAAAAATTTTTTTTTTCCAGAGGGAGAAAAATGAGCGAATCGGGGTCGCTGGGGACCAGCTCGACAGGCTCCGATACTGCTACCGATCCCTTCAGCCAACTACTCGCTTCAATGGCTCGTCCAATACCCTGTGTTACAGGTATTACTCAATTCGAAAAATTAGAATTTAATTAATTTTCTTTTTTTTTTTTTGTTTACTTGAATACAGCTCTCTGTAGCTAATCATTTATTGTATTTTTTTTTTTTTTGAAAAAGCAGCAGTAGCAACAGTAGTTGATGAAAGAAAGAGAGAGAGAGAGAGAGAAAGAGAAAGAGAGAAAGAGAGAGAGAGAGAGAGAGAGAAAGTATCAGATGAAAATAATGGATGAAAGATGGCAATAATCGGAATCAGATGTATGAGGAAAATGGAATACGGGAATAATCGCGGGATCAGGGATATAAGGAAAACTGGAAGATGGGAATAATTGCGGGATCAGAGATATGGGAAAATTTTGTGTGTTTGGTTGCATGTAATGATTCCGGAAATGTATTTAGTGAAGGAGAGAAAAAAAAAATGTTTTCACTTTTCTTTTCCTTTTCATCCTTTTTTTTTTTCAATCTTTCTTTTGTGTATGGTTCCATTTATGCGTCAACAAAATCATGCTGCATTACTAATTGCAAATTTCCGGATCGGAAAATTTCGGAAAATAGATGATTGGCAAATTTTATTTTTTGCATTTTGCTTTTTTTTTTCATAAAATATATGAAAATAACAGGGATTTTTAATTTTTTCATTTCAAAACTTAATCATACATTTTGCTGAAAGAGGAAGAGAGAGGGAGAGAAAGAGAGAGAGAGAGAGAGGCAGGGAGAGAGAAAAAAAATGCTTCTAATGCTAAAATGTTAGCAGAAAGAAATAAATGAAATAAAAGCAAATGTTAAAAGATAATTTCCCGCATTAGCTATAATTTTCTTATTATTTCCCTGAAAAATATGCTCCTATTATTCAGATGAAATTATTGATATAATTAATTTTACAAACTAATAATTCTGTCAAATTAGCTATATTATCTGTTGGGAAGGCAAAAAATTTGATAATAATAGAAGAGAAAATGATTAATGGATTTGGGCAGTT